CCCGGAGGTCCTGGTTAAACCAGGGTGCCGGGCGGGCTCTGCGTCGGACAGGGCGTTTAGGTGCGATCATGTCTACAGCCCTGACCGCAGCGGCGAACCAGCTGTCAGCCAGAACCTCGACAGGAGCGCCCGCCAGGTCAGCCATAGCACTTCTCATGGCATCCTGGAATCCAATCGGATCCAGTAGCCTTCGAGGGCGGACCATAACAATAGGTCCCTGCTCCCTGCGAGGGGGGAGGGCCATGCTGAGGTTACATTTTATTAGGTGATGATCCGACCATGACAGGGTGACCGACTCAAGGTCAGTCACCATCGGACTGACCTAAACAAACAGCTTAAAATAACATTCATACTTTTCTCCCTTTATAATATTCTGTAAAAGATTTGATTATACAATATACTATTATCTTCATTTGCCTAAAACCACATACATGTTGTGGTATTTCTTTGTCAATTAACATTATAGGTAAAATACAATACAAGTGACATTTTAAAATGCACTTAACCACCTTAGAACTGCAGGACTGGAAGGGACCTTATGGATCACCTCCCCCCCCCTTGTTTTCTTGTTCACATTAGATCATTGTTCTGTTGTTTACTTCTTTCTTGTGAAAACTGGCATGAAACTGAAAGAGCTACTCCTGCCTTATCTTATCAGTAGTTGTGTTCCAAAACAATCTGGTGGTAATGTAAACCATCTCCCAAGATGGTAGTTTTTCAATTGTACTTTCACTTTTTTAAAAATATATTTTTAAACTACTAGGAATAGGATAGGGAATACAAAAGGCAAAAGGAAGTGGAAGGGATGGGAAAAGGGTTTTAAGGATAGGAGAACACAAAGTATACAATCATCTAATCTATTCGCTTTTCAATGCAAAAAACAACTTTATACTCTTTTTTACTGTTTGATTATCCTCTAAATATCAGCTTTAATTTAAATCTAAGTTATTCCAACTCTATCAGGAAATTGAGAGCAATTATAAAATACATCCCCTCTTTCAATTTCCTTCTGTCTTGGACATACGTTCAGCATGCCTGAAAGAGTATCCATTTCTAGTACTTCTCGTATTTTCTCAGTACCCTTCTCTTGTTTCTGTGACTCTATTTTCTCAATAAAAACTGTTCTGGAGTTAGTACAGTTTCCTTTAACTATGGTTTCCCTTTCATCAGGTCTTCCACCTGGTTGAGGCGCTCATTTACCTGCTGAAATCCTGTTATTTTTGTCATTTGCATGGTAACCTGCCATTCTTTATCTGGCAATTCCCAACAGTTGATATTTAAAATTTTCAGAGGTCATTTCCATCTTTTCAATATGTATGGTTTGTACAAATAATATTTTATTATTCCACTATTATATCAACAAACCAAACCCATCATCATATACCTCCCCTGAGTATGTCCTCCCTTCCTTGCCCAGATATTATGGCAATATTATCAAAATCTACAGTCCAACCAAGAGAAAGTCCAGACTAAACAGCAAATGCAGGGAACCAGTCTCTCCAAAAGATATTGTTGTAATCCTTCAAAATTCCAGTCCTTATTTTCCTAGGTCCTCAGTCTATTCGGGTATGTTCCTCTCGCTGATGATTGATTGACTGTCTATTGCTCCCAAAGATTTATTCCTCCTTCTAAAACTGAACAAGTTTCTATTATCAAAGTCCCATTCGACTCCAGTCCTGGCTTCACCAGCTCTTCAATCTAGCCAATTATGTCGTCACACTGATGATTCACCGTCTGTTTTTTATTCCCAAAAACTTATTCCTCCTGCTCCGAAGACAAGATTTTATTTTCAAAGTCCCACACAAACTAGGAAGAAAAAAACAGACTAAACATCATTCACAAGATTTCAGTCCCTTGAAGCCTGTTCAAGAGTATTTCCTCTGGGATTTTTTCCAGAAACATAAAAATTTTCCGTCTCACTGTCTGTGTGTGACCTTGAGCCAGCCTGCTGTTTAAGAACTTGCTGTTTAAGAGTCAGTTCGCCTTAAAAAGGCAGGCTGGCAAGCACGGCTCGCCGCTTCTTCTCTCTCCTTTCGGTCAACTATTTTCACTCTAGTTTCTTTTACATCTTAATGAGGTTATTCATAAATCAAAGGCTTACTTTGTTGTTATGTATTTTCAGCCGTATTTTTGTTCTCCACTCCTCGGGGAATTGGGGGTGGAGTTCCTCACAGCTTACTACCGTAAAATGGCTTCCCACCTCCGATCTGTACTCGGGCGAATTTTTTTTTAATATTTATTTAAGGACAGGGTAGGGTATACAAAAAGTAAGGGGGAATAGGGAAAAGGGGAAAAGAAGGATAGGAGGGTTCAGGGGATAGAACACAGAGTATACAATCATCCGATCA